CAAGGGGAAGCTAGGAGAAATTTGTGGCCCTAGTTCCCCACATTATGTGGACTCTCGTTGTTAATTCCGTCCATCTCAACAGTGTGTGGGTTCAAGTCTTAAGAATCTATTATGCAATGTGTCTCTTACCCTCATACAAAAGAAAAATAAATAAGTAAAAACAACCAGTGCATAAAAACCAAAAAGAAATGACAAATTTAAAGTAAAATACAACAAATAACACACCAGAGCTAGTGAATTTAATCATGAGATACCTTGGCAACCTCTGAAACCCCCTTGAATCAAAAACCATTTTCCCTAGCAACGGCACCAAAAAATACTTGCTCCTTAGAGTTGATTAAATTATCGAGAAATTCCCAAGCGCAGGAAATGGTATTTTTTTGTAACTTAGCCGATTACCAAGGTTCATCTCCTTAAACAACGAATGGTTCAAGAGGTGATGGTCAAATGAAAATGAAAAGCTTAATTTTTGAGAGTTGGTTTGAGAATTTGATTACTTTAAGAAATAACAATTAAAGAAAAGAATTGGTTGATTGGTAAAGATCACCTCACCGTGAATATGCAGTTTGACTAAAATTCAATAACTCACTTGAGATTGAGGTCAAACACACTCAAGCGGTAGATATTCATTTAACACAGAATTCATAAATAAAAAATATGTACTCAAGATAATTGAATTGGTGAAAAGGAAGCCACTTCGATTGTAGTGATTACAAGAATTACCTGTGTCAAGTCTTAGTTGTCAAAGGATAAGCAAGAAAATATACAATTCGATGGCATCTTCACTTTAAACCATTCAATTAACCCAAATAACTCGAAAGTAAACAAACCCTAGTTTTGAGTCAAAACCACAATTCATGGATGATACTACTTCATCTGATCAAATCGGTGAACAACTATTCACTCATGTCTGCAAAAAAGAACCAAGAGTAATTTCGTTGCAAAAATTTAATACTACAATTGACACAAAACTTGTAAAGTAAAATAATGACGAAAGCTTGAAAGAAGAAGAAAAAAATCTAAAACCCTAGGAAAGAGACAAGAGAAGAATCGTGAATTGAATGATGGAATGGAGCTCTCCTCTCTTTTGCTAGACTTAGGTATTTATAGGAGGTCTTGTGCTACAAATCCTACTTTCTATTCACTAATCATAGCCTTCAAAATATTCAGCAGATTACCTTCCTTAGGAGTCTTGATTACCTAAATTACATAAACCTACTGGTAGAAAGCAAAAAATGACATACGGGTAGGGCTGTTCACTGTTGTCCTCCTACTGGTAGAACCCTTATCTGTCTTCAAACTATTGATAGGAAGTACTAACCTACTGGTAGAACCAACTTGTGGCCTCCGTTGTACCGGTAGCAAGGATCTTTTCTTAATTTTGGTTGTTGTGGCATTGGTTTCACTCGTATGCCTCTAAGCTCATCATCCAAGTCCTCTATATCATTGAAACACGTGTAATTCTATGCTCTTACACCAACTTAACTACAAACACACAAATTCACTATAAAATACAAAACTCAACTAAAAAAAATGAATTAAGGGATTAGTATGACTAAGATGAATAATTATGAGGCCTATAATATTCAATATTATGCTCTCATCACCCAGACCCAAAAGATGCCGAGTATATTCTTAAAGAAATTTAGGATGGTGTTTGTAGAAATCATTATGGAGGAAGAACTTTAGCCTATAAGGCTCTGTGCCAAGGATACCACTGGCCAGCCATGCAGAAAGATCCTCTGAAATTCTCTAGGAAGTATGATAAGTGTTTGAGGTTCACCAATGTTATCAAGAATCCTCCTCAAGAGCTAACCTCTATCACTAGCCCTTGGCCTTTCTCATAATAGGGAATAGATATAGTTGGACCCTTGTCTATAGGAAAGGGGAAAAATAAGTTTGTTGTAGTGGCCATCTAATACTTTACTAACTGGTCAACCACTATCAAAAAGCAAAAACTCAAAAGCTTCACATGAAAGTCAATTATATGTCGATTCGAGGTCCCTAGAGTCTTGATAACTGAAAATGGCAAGCAATTCTATAGTGACACCTTTAGGAAGTTATGCTCAGACTTAGGAACTCAGGATCATTACTCATCCCCTATCCATCCTCAGGAAAACTAGTAGGTTGAGATCACAATAAAAACACAACTCAAGGGTCTGAAGACGAGATTAGAAGCTATGAAAGAGTTATGACTAGAATAGCTCCCAAGCATTGTATCGGCGAATAAGACCACTATGAGGTCCCTTATAAGAGAAAATCCATTTTCCTCTACCATTGGAATTGAGGCAGTAACCCTGTTAAAATGGGATTAGAAACCTTTAGAATTCAACATTTTAATCAAGGAGAGAATGAAGAGTTGCTCAGAGTCAACCTTGACCTTCTTGATGAAAAAAAGGAGTTATCCCAAATCAGGATAGTTGCCTACCACAACTAGGTCAAGGTCCAGGAATTCTACCCAAGAGAATTGGTCTTAAAAAAGGTAACCCAAGCTTTCAGAGATCCTAAATAAGGGAAGCTGTGGAAAAATTAGAAAGGACCCTACCAAGTCGGCAAGATGATATGGTCAGTGACTTATGAACTTCAGACTATGGAAAGGAAGTTTCTGACACATACCTGGAATGTTGAGCACCTCAAGAAGTACTATCAATAAGTTTCTGACACATCAGGGTCAATCCTCCGATACTTAAGTCAACAAAGGAAAGAGGAAAATAGAATTTAGGTTAAGCTTGGATTGTTTACCTATTTGATTCCTTATCCTCTTTCTTATAGGCAATCATGTTTCTGTTGAAATATGTTTATCTTCATATTTCAATTGGGGTGGATCCCGGGTTATCAGTGTTTGAGTAGGGATGAACTCCTTGTTCAAATGGGAGTCTCAAGCTGAGTTGAATTCATCAAAGGAGAGCTTTGGTAGGCTAGAGAACTTTTGCGAGTTTGCGAGCTAGGACTCCACCAACCTGCTGAGAACGTGCTCAAATTCCCACCAACAAATACTATAAAATGTACTTGGCCTAAAATTAATAAACAAGTAGGAAATTTTGGACTTTGGGTTAGCTATGCTTCAAACTTTCATATCTTTTATGTTTTCTAGCATTGCTCCAATGGATGCGATGAGTAAGACTTTCTCTCTTTCTTCTTACCAACACTCGGCTCACCAATGGAACACGCCAAATTAGGTTATGAAGTAAAAATGAGACATATCATATTCATATTTATTTACATTAATTCCAACAAGCTCGCCCATCTAAGGGTGTGCTTGTTAACCCAAATTCAACACTTAAAATGAATGTATTTGACATTATTAATTAAGTTTGTTTGATAACTTAAATTTGAATATCTGAATTTATTAAGTATTCCTCAAAAATAAGTTAGAATATTAAGTAGCAGATCCCTTACTTAATTCTGAAAGTTGAAAGTACTCAGTAAAAATATCTTTAATAATATTTACAATATGACAATTATACATCGAAATATTTCACGATCTTATTAAAACTTTAATTAGTCTTCTCTTCAAAACCCTCAATTTATCTCACCATTCCTTTGCATCTTCAAGTCCTTCTTCCTTTGTCTTCATCATCACAAGCATACATAAATAATTACATGCACACTATGGCACACACATACACACACACTTCACACATTTTGCATACATATACACACACGCTATCAATTTAACTTGAAATAATTTTATTATCATGTTTATTAAATGTAGACTACAATATGATAATATTAATTAGGATTTATGTTATGAATTAAACTGATTTGATATTCATAGTTTTTTATTAGATAAAAGCATATTTTATAAATATTTTCAAAATAAAGAGTTAAAGGGTGAAATTAAAAATTAATTTATTTTCAGATATCAGCTATGTACAGTTATCAAACAGTATGGTTTAATTCAATACTTAAATTACAGTGGATGCCAAATAGTCCGCGAATTCAGCATTTAACATTTAGCAATTAAAATTCAGGATTCAGTTTCAGTATTCAGCTTTCAGTTTTATCAAATACCACCTAAGTAGTAAATGAATTGAATCACATCAAAATAAAAGTGGTTGTATAGGGGCTATTTGATAACACCACTTAAGGCTTAAAATTGAATACTTTAAGCACTAAATGAATTGAACTTGTTTGATAACCTAAAACTCATAACACTTGATATTTTAAGCACTTCGTAAAAATAGACTAAAATTTTAAGTAGCAGGCCAGCTTATCATTTAATGCGGCTGAAAATATTAATCAATAAGGATTTTATTAATTTTTCATAATGGACAAATATACCCTCTCAATTTTATACTCTTAACTTTTCAATATCCATCATCCACCACCACCACCACCATTGTGTCACCGTCGCCACCGCCATTATGTCACCCCCACCAATGCTACCATTTTGCCACCGCCATCACCACCTCCATCGCCAATGCCACTAACATCACCGTCATTACCATTGTGTTGCCGCCACCATCACTGTCAGTATTGTGTCGCCACCACCACCATCACATCATCACAATGGTGGTGGAATGAATAAGATAATTGCGGAGAAATGGTTAAAAAGAAATGAAAAATTAGAATAATGATAATTTTCAGACTCATTTTTTTATATTTGTCAAATAGTTTTATTCCATTCAATATTTAAATTTCAGTTGGTACTAAATAGTCTCCTAATTAAAAAATTCAGTATTCAACACTTAAAACTCAATATTCAATTTTCAAGGTTCAACTTTCAATTTTATCAAATATCAAGTATACATATCAAACTGATCAGTGAACAATATTGAGAATAACATGCAGGTCCCAATAGATGATATCTTCCCTTATTTTTTTAACAAATTCAAAATTAACTAACAATTACTAGAAGCCCAAGTTTGAAAGAAATCAACAATGGTTACCAAAATGATGTTTTTATTTTGTTGATGAAACAAATAAAAGCATGAAAAAATAAATTACGACAAAAAGTTGACAATCCTCTTATCAATTGACAAAACTGCCTTAATTCACTTGATTTTGTCTGGCCATTGTCTTGACTTGTCAGTGCATTTCAATGATTAACATAATTGCAATTCACTCTAATTTCACCTTCATCTTCACTCTGAATATTACCAAGCTTCACCATGGACACAGCGAACTGGCCGTAGAAAACCGAGGGTTGAGAAGCCAGTGCAGTAACAAGAGGTTGAGTCCTTGAATCAGAGTACAGCAATTGGTCTGTTGATAAAAGTCCCATCTTATACTGAAGGTTTTTGTAGTATTCTATGTCAAAAGTCCTAGGGGTTATTCCATCAAGGTCCACATATTCTGATGCCCACCTGCATTTTCTTCGCAAAAAGTTCAAGTACTTGACGTTGATGGATGGGTCGGGTGTTCCAGTTCCGTTGAAGTTATATAGCCTGTATTGCAATGAACCACATGTACTCCTTCCAATCGTGTGTGATCCTGAAAAACATGAATGTTACACACATTACAAATGCACTCAGCAATTTATAAATTAGTCCACCAAGAAAATCGACAGATAGGCAGGTCCTTAGTTCGGGCTTGCAGATGATGACCCAAAAATTCTGCCCCGGCACAAAATTTGGTCCACCCATAACAAGCCCAAAGAGTTATGGCGCAGGCCAAACCATAAACCGCCACCAAAAAGACAGGCCAATAGTTTTATTTTTGTAGTAATATTTTCATGTTCTAATTCATTAAGTTATTTAAGTAATAAGCTTTATCTTATAAGTTAATACATTATAAATTCTGAAGTCGTATATGGAATAAATTACAAGTTATATGCGTTTTTGTTAGAAATTATAACTATAGTATTTTCTAATGAAAAAGAAAGAACATATGGGCTAGCCAGATTGGGCCTATTCTGAAACTGGTGGCAACACTCGATGCTTGACCCAGCCCGCGCAATTGTAGTCTCGTTTTGGTTCCAAAAAACATTTTCAGGCTGTGCCTGGTCTGGGGCATAGAAAGAAAGGGCAGTTAGTTCACCTGAGAGGACCACCAAGTCAAGTACATTCAAACCCTTGGACTGGAAAAGCTCAATCAGATCAGTGATTTTTTCATGACCCATGGGCACTGTTTCAGCTTCTTTGGCAATTGAAATTCGCCCGTCTTTCCTTCCATATGGTACCATCCAGAATGGGCCTCCCACTCCAACCGTGGCATCTCTAGCCGCAGCAGTAAGAATATCAGCGCAAGAGACAGTCTTAGGGCACCTGCTCTCAACCTCTGCCTTTATATCTTCAATCACCTCAAACCCTCTCAATGACTTACTTGCATTGGCCATCTTCTCACTGCCTTCGTTGTCCAAAAGAATGGAACCATCACATCCCTACGAGCATGAGAAGTGTAAATTGATAGAATAGGGTAGGTATATCTTATCTGTGGATTCACTTTAATGTAGAATAGACTGCACTTGATATAAGATGGTAGGTTTATCTATCTATAAATTCACATTAATGCAGTAGCGGGTTCAATCAAGAGAGTATTCACTTTATGTAAATAATTTTAATTATTAAGTCTAGGTCCAATCAATATCTCAAGGTACGTCCAATTAATGGGATCATATACGGTAATGACTCTCAATAGAATGCATTGCAATTTGCATGCACATATATGTACTGAAAAAGTGATTAAGAGAATAAATGGTTACCCTAACAGCACAGTCATGGAAGTGCAACCGAATGAGACTAGCAGCAAGAGTATAATCCTTCTTAATCCATTCACCCATTTTTCTTTGGATAATGGCTTCGAGGTCAGGACAACTCTGTTGATAGTAGGAAAAAGAAAGGTCGTCACCGAATGGGAAGATATCCGGCAGCTTCGGATTTGTCAGAGAATAAATGGTATTTTCCCGGAGGGAGTCAAAGGCGGAGACTGAAAAAACAAAGAAGATCAAGAGGAACACGGTACAGAAATTCATGATGGTTTTGTTTTCAATTCAGGTGTAAATGAAGAGGGAAAGGTTGGGTTTCTGGGGTGTAAGTGTGGGCTCTGAATTGTTGGTGTGTGTGATCTACATTTATACAACTCACAGTTGCACATAAATTAGGAATAATGTCGGTTAGCTAGTTAGTTAAGGAAATACGTGAAACGCACCACCATTGATGGCGTGCAAACATGTAGGGTTGGGAGTAAAATAATCTGGTATAAAAGAATTATATTAAGTTAATTGAGATTGTGTGTGTGTGTCAATAATAGGCCATTTTTGAACTTGAACCTGAGCAAGTCAAAGAAATAAAAAAATGTCTACAAGCTTTTATACGTATTTACCAACAATTTGCATATATAGTTGCCGAAATGGCTTACGACTATTGATGGGATAGGCCCAACCCATGTTATAAGCCTAGTTTGAGATAAAGACCCAATTCCAAGAGATCCAGCTAGTCAAGCTCAAAGGAGTTTACACTCGGATAATCTTATCAAGATCAAGAAACTACATTAGCAGGGGAGCATGCACGGTCATCCAAGAGCCTCCTCTACTACTTTGGAGTAAGGGTCATCCAAGAGAGTCATCCAAAATCCTCCTTTACCACCTTGGAGTAAGGGTCATCCAAGAGTCTCCTCTACGCCACCAAGGGAGCATCCAGGAGCCTCACCCTCACCACCAAAAGAGCATCCAGAAGCCTCACCCTCACCACCAAGAGAGCATCTAAGAGCCTCACCCTCGCAGCCTAGAGAAAGTCAACCTCCCTCATCCTTGACCAAGTACTTTGGAGAGCACACCAACCGTCACACCTTGCCCGTTGAGAAGATGATAGATTGCCTCAGCCGGATTAGCTACCTAATTACTATCAAACGGTCATAAGTCATAATGACCGTCAGAATAGTCATACAATTATTACGCCAAATCACTATAAATTGTAAGGTCCTCTAACACTTGGGGGGGCATCAGACTCATTTGAACATAATTCTCTCCTCCCCTCTCAAAGCTTGTAATTATGTGCTCTCCCTCCACACTGGAGATAATAAAATTCCGGCGAGCCTAGCCATTCAAAGTGGACGTAGGTCGTATTGACCGAACTACTATAAATCCTGTCTTCTCTCTCCTTCTACTTACTGCATTTTATACTACAACTTGACTAGTAATGTGCAAACTAATTTGTATATCATCAACTATCTCCTTTAAAGGAAATTGGCAGCAGCATGGTCAAAAAAAAACAAAGAAAACTGGCCAAGCGTTAGGTAAATATGTAAAAGTTAAAAGTGTTAATTCTATTTCATCCTCTTATAGTTTCACCAAGTAGTACTTCATTCACTATCGTTAAAAAATGAAAACAAAATTAACCCACTTTTTGTACATGGGCAAACTATTCAGGGGTTATATGATTATTTTTATAAATAATTTGGAAAATAAATTCTTCATGGTTAAAGTGTAAATTAAGAGTTTACTGGCAACCACAAATATTGATGAGCCCAGATACGGCTAGGCTAAGCCCAATTGGTGGGTTAAGCCCAAATAGTTAAAAAGGCAGATCAGACTTAGCTCATGGCTTTAGCCCAATCTAAGGTTCAATAGACCCAGGGAGGTCAACGCACGTGGGGGACTAATCATCGAGATAGTCATTACTCGAAGATAGCACTTATCCTTAATTGTAGCTATTGTCTCTAAAAGGCTAGTAGCTTGACTTTCACGTCACAGCCTCAACTTGGGTTCTGTGCCTATAAATTGTAATTCATCTACACATGGGAGGGACATCTCTCACATACACCATACCTTGAGCTTATTCTTGCTCTATCTCTTTCTCACCTACTGTTTTATTTTCTCATTAACAAAGTTTTCCACCCACCGTTGCCGCTTTTAGTGGTTAGGTCACCTAGGACCACCTGATCTTTGTCTTTTACTATTAATTACTCCATTAATTACTTTTGATCATACACTCGACTGATTTGATTGTACATAGCCTATTTTGTACAACATCAGTTTGACGCCGTTTGTGGGAAACAACTAAGTTTTCTATTGCATTTCTATTTTATCCTAATCTCTTTCAAATCTATGGCAATTACTACTAGGTCAATGAATCAACAATCAGAGGATAATGACCCAGGTCATCGAGAGGAGATTCTTCCTCCACCTCCGCCTACGGAACNAGAGGATAATGACCCAGGTCATCGAGAGGAGATTCTTCCTCCACCTCCGCCTACGGAACCCTCCACTGCAGCAAATCGTATGGTCGAGCAACAGCTTTTGGAGCCAATTTAGTTGTTACTATGTCAAAACTAGTAGATCTTCCAACTGATGCTCATCTAAAGAGGAATCATGCCCCAACCCTTAGTAGGGGAGGCGACACGGCTTGCCCACCTAGGGACCAAGGCATTCCCCAGTACTAAGGTGCCCCCATGTAGTGCCTAGGGGACCCCTACTAGGGAGTCCCTCCTCGGCGCCCCACATGCTCCTCTTCCTCATGTCCTTGCTTCATCCTCACATGATGTTGACCCTCCTATGCAGGAGAATGAGGGGCAGAAACAATATGCAAACTATGAGAACTACTACAATGATCCGATTGAGGGTATCCCCAACTAATGGGATGAAAAAGATCAAGGAGGTACAACACCAGATTGGCGGTGTCTTCAATGCCATCAAAGCTCGAGCGTCGAAAACAGTAGACTATATGGTAAGGAGCACTAACACTTCGTTTGTGGCAGATGTGGTAAACTATCCATTATCCTTGAAGTTCAAGATGTCCACTGTGAAAATCTTTGATGTTTTGAAGGATCCCCTCAACCATTTTAACACATACAAGTCCCTTATGCAATTCCATAACGTACATGATGAGATCATTTGCAGAGTTTTCCCTACTACCCTGGAAGGATCCGCACAATTGTTGTTTGCCAAGCTTAAGCCAGTTTCCATCAACTCTTTTGCTGAATAAATCAAATATTTCGTCTCCCACTTCCTAGCAGGAAGCCAACATCAGAAACTAGTCACCCACTTGCTCACCATCAAGCAGGATCAAGATAAAAGTGTAAGGAGCTACCTCACTCATTTTAATGAGGAGGCCCTCCAGATCGAGGAGCCAGATGATAAGGTTACCATGATCGCCTTTATTGCAGGTCTACGCTTATCTAATTTTATGTTTTCTATTTTGAAGAAACCACCAGCAAGCATGCCTGAGCTATTATCTAAGGCATAAAAGTATCTGAATGTCAATGATGTCACCAAAGCTAGGCAAGGTGAGTCATCCTGCAAGGGTGAGAAAAGAAAGGACACCCACGAAGACAAAAGATAAATAGAAAGTAAGAAAATTAGGATGGCAAGATTACCCGTCAAGGACCACCTCGGTCCCGCACCCTTGAGAGATAAACAAGCCTTTACTCTGCTCAATGATTCGGTTGAGCATATCTTGCTTCAAATCCAAGATGATCCAATGATACATTGGCCGAGAAAAATGAAGTTTGCCCCGAATCGTAGGAACCCAAACAAGTACTCTAGTTTCCACCGCAACTATGGCCACAACACTGACGACTGCTTTGAACTCAAAAGGCAGATCGAGGAACTCATGCAGAGCGGACAGTTGCGATAGTACGTTGCCGACAAATGACAAGCCTTGCCACCTGGCCAAAACCTGGATGACAAAGAGAACCAACAGCCCATCGAAGAAATCTAGGTGATCTCTGAAGTGTTAGGAGGAGGAGATGACTCCCACTCAGCCAAGAAGGCGCATGTAGGAGTGCCAGATAGGCCGAGTTAGATGATCCTCGCCCAACAAAGACTCCTAGGCACGTGGAAGGGGAAGTCATCTCGTTCTCAAACAATGACCCCGAGGGGATTCAACACCTCCATGATGACTTTCTAGTGTTAACCATGATGGTAGCTAACTACCAAGTTAAGAGAATTTTGGTGGATAACAATAACTCTACCGACATCCTATTTGCATCAGCTTATGATAACCTTCATTTTTGCAGCGAAAGATTGCAACCTATTATAGGACGCCCCTCATTGGATTTTCAAGGGAATTGAAGCCATATTCAACTCATTACCTACAATCACACATTAACATCATTAATTGTTTGATTCATCGCATTTCTTCCCAATTGCAAAACAAAAATAAGTATGAAAGGGTATTACAAGCATACATAATATGCAACATTCTGTGCTAATCACACCCCCCAACTTGAGTTTTGCTAGTCCCTAACAAACTTTAGTTACAAACCGCAAGGTATACAACTACAACAATCCCATTCATACAAGTGAATCATCAAACAACCATAATGCAAAAATCACAATGCAATTAAAGAAATGGACTTGGGCAATGATAAAATGAAACAACTATGGTAATTTTCATTAATCATTTACAAAATTTCAGTACAATCAGTTAAAGTTCAAAAACAACATGGCCCAAAATCCTAGAGACTCTTATACTAGGCTGAAAATTCCACTCCTAACTTTGTACAACCTAAAATCAAAAGAAACAAAGCACAAGAGAACACCCTACTCATCACCCTTATCCCTATCATCATCAATATCAACATCCTCAGAATCACTCTCGGACTCACTCACATCCTCCTCGTCATCATCGTCGTCATCACCGGACCCTCCCACTTCAACAGCCATAGAAGGTATGGGAACAGAGATAAATGGTCTAGTTGGAGGTGGCGGAGGTCCACTAGTGATGGGCTCGTCTGGGAAAGTGTGCTGAAAAAGCCTCATCACCATCAATAAAAACCCATGCATAGTAGTCTCTAGGGCGTCCAAATAATGAGACATAGTGTGGGCTGGGGAAGAAATGGTAGGCTCAAAAGAAGATGGCTCCGTTGATGGTGGCTCAGGTCTAGAGGCACTAACTCTCTCACCCCAAGTCCTCACTGCCATCTTGTTGCTGCTTGATTTTTCAATGGCACCAGTCTCAGGGGGGAACAACAAATCATGTCCATAGGCCTTTACCTTGCAATGGGAGCACATTCTACTAACAAGATTGCCAA